ATACAGCTGGTAAATGTCTGAGACTGGCTCTGAACTCAGATTTTCTTGACTCCACATCTAGCAGTCTGTCATTTACCTTTCCCATGAGTTTCTCTTACCACCTCCTGACACAGAGATGAAAGACTCAGAGTACAGAATGAGACATGTATGTAAGCCCTTTTGACATGGCCAATGCAGAAATTTGATTTGCTTGACTATATATACTGGATATTCTGGAATATATCCATGAGCATGAATATGTATGTGGAGATATCAAGTCCTCAAATCTTCTTCTGAGCTATGAGAATCCTGACCAGGTATATTTAGTACATTATGGCCTCAATTACCAATATTGTCCAGAAGGAGTTCATAAAGCATACAAAGAAGACCCTAAAAGGTATCATGAGGGAACCATTGAGGATACAAGTGCTGATGCACACAAGGGTGTGGCACCATCAAGATGGATGACTTGGAAATACTAGGTTATTGCATGATCCAGTTGCTCAGTAGCCTTTCTCCCTTAGGAGGACAATTTGAAAGATCCTAACTATATCAGAGACTCCAAAATTAGCTACCAAGAAAATATTGCAAGTTTGATGGACAAATGTTTTCCTGAGAAAAATAAGCCAGATGAAATTGCTAAATTTATGGAAGAAGTGAAATTATTGGGCTACACAGAAAAATATCATTATAAGAGTTTACAAGAAATTCTTTTGCAAGAGCTAAAAGCTACAGGAAATAAGGATGATGGCAAACTGGATTTGTGTAACTTGGAAAATAGAGATTTGCCAACAAAAATAGGACCATAGAAGCAAAAGAAAGAGGTGGAATAAAGCACAGAATCAGATACTAAAGATATGGAAATCTCACATCAAAAAATATTGGAGGGATCTCAAAGTCATTTAAGAACCAGAAATACAGTCCTAAAGTAGAATGAATACCATAAGCCCATAAATGGAATTTGCTTCATTTCTCCTTTTTTCAATAATGTTTCTTTTCTCCTTTCTTGCATTGTATTTAACTTTCATGTGAATCTTGGGAGGAAGGGTGGTGGAAATATTTTTAAATCCTTGTGTCTTTGAAGAGTGTTTCAAGATTTTTGTTAAAATAAATACTTCAAAAATAACAGAGTAACAGAGTAAACAGAGCAACAGAGTAAAAAGTAACAGAGTTTTGGTTGGGGAGGGAAGAGAACTAGGAGGAAAAGAAGATTTTTTTCTAATTAATTAATTTTTAGTTTTCAACATTCACTTCCATAAGATTTTGAGTTCCAAATTTTCTCCCCTTCCCTCTCCTCCCCCCCACCCCAAGACAGCATTCATTCTGAATACCCCTTCCCCTGATCTGCCCTCCCTTCTATCACCCTCCCCCCTTCTCTTATCCCCTTCCCTTTCTATTTCCCTGTAGGGCAGGATAGATTTCTATACTCCCTTGCCTGTGTGTCTTATTTCCCAGTTGCATTTGAAAACAATTATTTTTATTTTAGTGAGACAATTGGGGATAAGTGACTTGCCCAAGGTCACACAGCTAGTACGTGACAAGTGCTTGGTCTGAGGCCAGATTTGAACTCAGGTCCTCCTGACTTCAGGGTCGGTGCTCTAACCACTGAGCCACCTAGCTGCCCCTAAAAACAATTTTTAACATCCATTTTTAAAACTTTGAGCTCCAAATTCTCTCCCTTCAAGGGAAGATTTTTGAAGAAGATTTTTGCTGAACGGAAAAAATTAAAATTTAACTTAAAAAAAATAGAAAGAATAGAGAATAATCTTCAATTAGGTATGCCAAGGTAGCTATGCTAGAACAACCAAGCCTATGTTCCACCCATATGTGTGTGTGTGTGTGTGTGTGTGTGTGTGTGTGTGTGTGTGTTTTAGCTTCTTGGTGATTCAGCTACTATAACTATCTTGCATATCAGTCCCCTTCTCTTCACTCATACAGCCACCTCCCAGGTTCTCCCTTCTTCAAGTATCTCCCTTCTACTCCCTCTACTCAGCAGCCAAAGTGATTTTCCTTAAGTATAGGTCACCTTACTCAATAAATTCTGGTAGCTCCCTATTACTTCAACAGATTACAGTCTTAGAGACATACCTGTAGCACAGAGAGGTTAAGTGACTAGTTCAGGGCCACATTGATAGTATGTGACAGAGGAGAACTTGAATCCAGATCTTCTTGACTTCAAAGATGGCATTAATCAACTACATCACCCTTTTTTTCATAGATATTTTATTAGGCAGGTACATAGTGCCATAGATAGGGTGGATAGAGAGACCTGCAGTCAGGAAGACCTGAGTTCAAATGCTTACTAAATGTGTGACCTTGGGCAAGTCACCTAACCTCTGTTTGCCTGAGCTTCTTCAACTATAAAATGAGGATAATAATAGTACCTACCTCCCAGAGTTGTTGAGATGCTCAAATAAGATAATATTTGTAAAATACCTGACACATAGTGTCATATAAATTCTAGCTATTATTATGTACTGTATATTGTGTTTGTTGTTCATGCCAAGAGTAAAACATAATTGAAAAAAGGAATACAATGTAATAATATGTTTCTGTTTTAATTTTGGGATAAAATATAGCCATTTCAGTAGGCCCAACAAAAAACTCAATAAAATACCCTTAAATTATTTTTCAACTACTTAGGAAAGAAATTAAGTATCACATAGTCCAACCTCTCCCCACCCCCCAAAAAATTCAGCATATTGGATAGGAAATTTTGAAAGGAAAATCATTTAATATAATTAAAGAACTTGAATGTATATAAAATATGCATATATATACACACATATGTATGTATATAAATATATATATATGGAGTTCCCCTAATACTCAAGTCAGTTGACAGAATCACAGATGATGAGGTTTTAGTATATTGACAAGATGTTAATACCCTCTCATACTTTTTTCTGTGTATGATCACCTCTATAATATCATTGGCTTTTAAAAAAATGACCACACCCTTGTGTGGCTTTAGATATCTAAGCCCTGACAATAGCTAAAGTTTGGCAGATTCTATGAATCAAAAAGTATAAGAGATAGTTAGCTATGAAAGTAGAACTAAGCTCTTCACTTCTTAAGAGGGAGAATAAGGGGATTTTCTTTCCTTCCCCTACCCACTGACCATGCTGTTTAATAGCAAAGCTACCTACCCAGAAGTAGCAACCCAATTCAGCATTTAAAGAATAAGTTCGTGGTGCAGTGGATAGAGCACCAACCCTGGAGTCAGGAGGACCTGAGTTCAAATCCAACCTCAGACATATAACACTTCACTAGCTGTGTGACCCTAGGCAAGTCATTTAACCCCATTGCCTAGCCAAAAACAAACAAACAAACAAAAGAATAAGTTCAGGGGAATTTGAGGGAGTAGAGACCTACACTCCAAAATGACAGCTAGAGATAAAGTCACTTGAGGCTAACAGCAGTGTCTAGGAATGTGTCCACTGACAGGAGAGAAGAAAGCTATCCATGAACTAGTCAGAGCTAGTTCTTTCAAGATTGTAGCTAGAGGGAAGACCAGACCCTGGGGACCAAGCTAAGCAAGTCAACCAGAAGAAACACTTAGCCTTGGGGGAAGTTTGTAAGGATTTCACTGGAGATAATGTACTTCGATGCCTAACAGTACCAAAACAATGAGCAACTTCAACCACATGTGTTCCCCATGTGTATCCTTCACTATTATTGTACTCTTAAGCTTATGGTCACTGTACCCTGTGTTTATGGGATGAGTTACTGTTCTTACCATGCCCTAGTAAATGCCTTTACTAAAAACTAATTGCATATACTGGCTGACAGTCTTAAGGAGAAGCACACTGGTAGGGGCTCCTAAGCATTAGTTTTAGAAGAACAATCTCATACTGCAAACACAAGTATAAGTTGGAGGCAGTATGCCAAAGAAGAAACAATGGGTGTGCATATGTGGGTGTGTGTATACACACATACACATACCTACATAATGTATGTGTATACACACACACGGACAGATGGTACAGTATGGAGGGTTGGGTCTGGATTCAGAAAGACTCTTCTTCATGAGTCAAATTTGGCCTCAGACACTGAGTAGCTGTGTAACCCTGGACAAGTCATTTAACCCTACTTGACTCAGTTTCCTCATCTGTAAAATGAGCTGTAGAAGGAAATAGCAAACCACTCCAGTATCTTTGCCAAGAAAACCCCCAAATGGGGTCATGAAGAGTTGGACATGTCTGAAAAACAACTGAACAGCAACAACAACCATACACACACACACACACACACACACACACACACACATATATATACACACATATGCATGTATACATATGTGTATATATGTGTTTGTATATATACAGATATTATATAATACTACATACATATACAAATATATGTTACAGGTTGTATTTATCTCTTTAGTGGTAACTATGTCTGAATTCAGTATTCTTTTTAAAATTACACTCTTAAAATTTTAATGTACTTCAAAATATTGTTTTGCTAACTCCTAAGGGCTATGCGCTTTCATGGAGCCATGATCACATTTATGTATTCACCCAGACACATACAGATGTAGATACACAAACACACACCTTTCAGACTTGTGATTTCTTTGGGGGAGGGAATTCAGAGAGTGAAAGCAAGAGCGAGAGAAAGAAAGAGAGAGCGAGAGATGATATAAATAGAGATGACATCAATGTAGATATAGCTATATAGACAGATGATGTTGATACAGATAAGGATAGAGATGGAAATGGTAGAGATATAAATAGACAAATATAGATAGACATATTATAGATACAGTTCTAGATAGTCCAGATGTGTGATTTCATGAGGAGAAGGAATTACCTATACTAGTTCAGATCAGCAACTGCTCACCAATTTACAGCCTTATAGAACTCCCCAAGGTACAGAAAGGTTAGAGTGACTTGTCTACGGTCCCTCAGCCAGTAGATATGAGAGGCAGAACTTGAACCCAGGTTGTTCTGCCTCCAAAGCTGGCTCTCTAGATTTGCTGCCTCATATAATAAAAATAAAATGAAACAAATGCTTACCTCCCTTTAAAACTCTGCAGAATGAGTAACCACCATCAGCCCCATGGCATAAGACTTCTTTCCTCAGTGGCATTATTACAGATGATTTAAATTCTGCATGAATGTTAAAATATAGGTCTCTCAGGTCTCTCCCTAAAAAAAATTATGTCTATTATTCTATTATCACATATTGTTTAGAAGTGAAAAAATATACATTCTATACCTATAAAAAGAAGGAAAATATCAGGACAAAGAGGAGAATAAAGAAGAAATACATCTTTAGCTAGGTTTTAATCAAAAAATTATTTTGAAAATTAAATTTTAATTATTGAAAATTTTTTAAAGTATCTATAACCATTCTTTTAAAATAGTTTTGTTATAAACTTAACAAACATAAATATTTCCATTAGCAATGAACAGGAAAAAATATTATATATGAAACCATGAATCTCTATTATGCATATCTTGGTTTTTAAGTATATATCAAATTTAATACAATGTTATTGTTGACTTAGAGAAAATAGGGTGGGGGAATAATATAGTAATTCAACATAATCCTTTATAATAATGTTTTATGTTGAGGGAATTTTTTTCAAAGTATTTCTCTGCCATCCTCATCATGTTTCCTTATCATTTGCTACAGATAGATGATTTGTATTCATGCAGACTACACTGCAAGTTCGTTTCCTCTGGGGGCAGCTAGGTGGCGCAGTGGATAGAGCTCCAGCCTTGGAGTCAGTAGGACCTGAGTTCAAATTCAACCCCAGACACTTGACACTACTTACTAGCTGTGTGACCCTGGGCAAGTCACTTAACCCCAATTGCCTCACGAAAAAAAAAGAGAAAAAAGTTTGTTTCATCTAATAAACTGAAAATTAATGCTTAAAAAGGGGGATGATAATGCTGTCTCCATCCAAGTACCTTGCACTCCCTCCCTCCCAAAGCCTTCCTTTCCTCCTCTTGGGGACAACACTGCTTTGTATCTTTGTGCTATTCTGAAATTCCTTCTGTTATCTTCTGGTATTTTAAAAATGTTTCGTTGGTGCTCTTTTCTTTCTTTTTTTTTTTCTCTTGGGGGTGGAGGGAGGAGAAGCATTGCTTTCACCACCCTCCCCACTTTCTCTCCTCCCTCAATTGTCCTCCACAAAAAAAGTAAAAGCCCTGTCTTATAACGAATAGGCATAGTCAAGCAAAATATATTAATTCATTGTCTGTGTCAGAAAATAGGTCTCATTCTGCACTTCTAGTCCACCATTCTTTTGCCAAAAGGTGAGAAGCATGAATTATCATCAGTCTTCTGAAGTCATGATTGGCCATTGCAGTGATCAGAGTCCTTAAGTCTTTCAGAGTTATTTTTCTTTATAATTTGTAGTCATAAATTTTCCCCTAAGGACTTCTTTGGCTACAACTAAAAGTTTTTGTATATCATCTCATTGTTTTCATTTTTTGATGAAATTATTTATTGTTTCTATGATTCTGCTCTTTGACTCATATTTTTTAGGATTAATTCTCTTTTTCAAATGTATTTTATTGATTATAAATTTATTGCATTATGTCAGTAAAGGATATGCTTAATGTATATTTACAACAATATTTATGTCTCTAAAAATTTTATACTGCAACCTATGGTCAATTTTTGTGAAAGTACCATACACAGCTGAGAAATAGGCATACTCTTTCTATTTCTTTCTCATGGCAAAGTGTATAGAGAACTAGTATCAAAATCAGAAAGATTTCAGTTTAAGTCCCACCTCATAACGGCTGTATTTCCCTGGGCAAGTAGTTTAATCTCGAAATGCTCTAAGCATCTCTCTAACTCTATGTTAGAGAGGAGGTGCCAAACTGAATTGAAAGAGTTTCCTTAACTAAGAGTTCTCTTTATCAAATAATCTCAAACCCAATCCCTATTCTTATTTGCATTAATTAATCTCTAGAGATAATACATAAATTTCATAAAATTAATTTCATAAATTTTTCTTTCTTGTTTTTCTCTGGACTTATGACTTGGTGGGACTGATGCTATATAAGAACTAAATGAAATTGTAAACCTAATACCCCTCCCTTCCCAAGAGACTGAGGGACAATTATGCCTCCCAGGTATTAGGGTGGGGGGGAGGGGTGTGTTTGTATCTTTGTTCTTACTATACCTTTCAAGTAAACATTCCTGTGTGAAAGCAAAGATGATTGTTAAGTGGTCAAATGGAACTGGGGTACTGTGAACCCCTAAAATTAGAGAACACAGTTGTTGAGGGCCTAAGCCAGTGGCAGACTAGATATCCCCAAATGTTCTTAAGGATACCTAAGTACCCTGGGGAAGAGGTGAAATGTAACATATCTGGCCTTCAGGCAGTGGGGGACAGAGTAGTCACTGTTACAGTAGTAATTCTGTCTTCCCTTAGCCATGGTAAAAGAGTTGGTGAGAAGAAGGTCTTTTAGCTAACATTAGATTTGTGGACTTTGTGAAATTCATATATAAATTTCTCCCTCCCTGATTACCATGAATAATCCAAAGGCAATAACATATTTTGCTAAGAATCAGTTACTCAACTCAACTGGTACACATAGCAAAAGTGCAGAAACTTTCCTTCCTCTTCCTTTCCTATAAGTCTATATAGTCTCAAAATTGTTGGCACACTAGAGACCTATTTATTTTGCAGTTTGGGTACCCAGAATGTCTAGATTATCTAACAAAATAATATTATTATTAATAGCAACAATAACTATCATTTATATAGTGCTTTAAGATTTGCGAACAGTTTACAAATAAAATATCTGTCAAACACATTATTGGTACATCTTTCAATACATCAAGGATCCATGATTGTGTCACTAGGCATACTCCCTCAACTGGTACAATTTGCATACTGTCTCTACCTAAGTAATATCATTCTTTATCAGTTGCTGAGACCCTCAGATTTATGGTACAGGGGAACAACCTCCTGGTTATGAGGCTGGTTCACATATGTCAAGTATACCTAACTCATCACCAGAACCAGTCTTGAAGGCCTTCTAGCTTGGTAAGACTAACCAGAGCTTATGCTAGGTCAGTATAGCTTTTAAGAACCCAGATTAAGCCCCATTCAATGAAATGGCATCAGAGGAAGGCCAGAGTGGAGGAACCAATTATCCAAACACAATTAGGATCAGGACTTTAACAAGGTACAATATCCAAGGCCACTTTTGTGTTTGAAATTACGTATAATTTCTCAACTTTTGTCAGAGTATACCTGAGAAAACATGGTAATATTAAGTATGTTTTAATAACAATAAGCTAAATGAAGAATATGAAGGGTCTCATTCCTTGTAGACCTTGAGTGAGGGATTAATATTGTTGGAAATAAGGGATTTGCTTAAGGCAGCATAAAAATATTAATGAATCCTGATCGTGTTACTGAGAAGGAAATATGTATCTTTTTTCTCACCCAAGTAGAAATTCAAAAACAGTATCAAATAACTGACCCATCTATCAACCACATAGTCAGCTTTATGGCTGGGATTATAGTGGACTTAATTTGTTATTATTCCTGGGTTCTCAGCATACTCTCTCATTCTCATTAACTGGGGTAAGGAAATATTATGACAAACCACAAAACCATATTTTCTCAGCTCATATTTATTTCATATTTAGATATGAAAAGTCAATGACTTCTAGGCTCTCGGTCACTGCATGAAAACAACTGGTTAGGGAGAGAAAACCAGGGCTGAAATGTCTTTATAATCACATAGCTGGTGGTGCAGTGGATAGAACACTGGGCCTAGAGTCAGGAAGATCTGTGTTCAAATCTAACCTCAGATACATATAGCTGGGTAACTCACTTAACCTCTATTTGCCTCAGTTTCCTCAACTATAAAATGAGGATGAAAATAGCCCCCTACCTCACAGGGTTGTTGTCATAAGGATCAAATGAGGTAATATTTATAAAAAGTGCCTAGCACATAGTAAAGCCTGTATAAATATTTATTCCCTTCCATTCCTCTCACCCCAATAAGACACTGTTTACTGTTGCCTCTAGGGCTTCGATAATCACCATCACCACAAGCAGTTGTTGTTTTCATTAACCTGACTAGATTTGATAACAAGAAAAAAACAGAACACTTTCTTTTAACAGTCTTATCACCCTGCTTCTTCTCCAGAATTTTTTTCTGTTGTTTCAAGCAATCTCAGCATTCAACTAATCCAACCTATGGATGAAAGCTAGATCTCAATCAGCACAAATAATAAATCCAGTGATGTTTTCACATGTATTTGAATTCACATTATTTGAAATTGCAATTATGTAAAACGTGGGCATTGGTTCCAGCTCAGCAGAAATACTCAGTGAGAAATTGAATATTTTGACCACTTCTTGGGATTCCTAATTCACACTGATTGGGGACTGTGTAAACTACCTAACAAATCATCATCTAGTCATAAAAATGGCTAATGGAGAGCAGATACCCAAAATTAGTAAAGAGATAGTAAGAGAGCTCTCTGTATGCTTGATGAGGCCCAAAAATCACACTAGCTTTTTTGACTGCCATATCACACTGCTGACTCATACTGACCTTGAAGTCCACTAAAACCTCCAAATCTTTTTCAAAACAACTGCTATCTAATTATGCCTTCCCCATCTTGTACTTATGAAGTTGATTGTAGCCAAGAATAGGACTATGCTGAAACATCACTACTAAATTTCATCTTGGGGCAGCTAGATAGAGCAGTAGATAGAGCACTAGCCTTGGAGTCAGGAGGACCTGAGTTCAAATCCAGCCTCAGACCAAACACTTGACACTTACTAGCTGTGTGACCCTGGGCAAGTCATTTAACCCAACTGCCTAAAAATAAATAAATAAATAAATAAATTTCATCTTTATTAGATTCAGCCCAATGCTCTAGCCTGTCAAGATCATCCACTGTGTTAGCCATCCTTCCAAGCTTGGTGTCATCAGCAAATCTGATTGATCACACCATCTATGTTTTTATCCAAGTCATTGATAAAAATATTAAGCAGTACAGGAACAACCAGACATTCCAGGGCACGCTGGAAGCCTCCTACCATCTTGGCATTAAACCAATTACCCTTTCAATCCAGCCATCTAATCAGCTGTGAATCTATTTGATTGAATTAGTATGTAATTCATATCTTTCCATCCTATCCACAAGAATAGTATGAGATCAAATCAAAAGCTTTGCCAAAATCTGGGCAAACTAAATCCACAATATTCCCCTCACCTACTAATTTAGTAATACTGTCAAAAAAAGGAAATGAAAGGATAGTCTTATATGACTTGTTATTGATGAAACCATGCTGGACCTCTATAATCACCACTGTCTTTTCTCGATGTCCACTAGTCATTTCTTTAATGATCCATTCTAGAATTTCCCCAGGAATCAAAGTCAAGTTCACAGGTCTATTGTTTGCAGACTATGATCTCTTTCCTTTAGAGAAAAAAATTGGGTAAAGAAAACATCTTAAGCATAGATAATTCTTGGGATAAGGTTTAGGGCTACCATAGAGACATAAAAAAGAGAGATAAAGGATGACAGCTCAACTTTATTTCATGGTTTCACATAACACCTTGAGTCAGGGAAGAGAGATGTCTATGAAGGTGGTTGCTGAAGCCTACAAAATGGAGGTAAGCCATCCAAGTCAACTGAATAGAGTTGAATTCTGTGGGTGGGAGAGACTTGGAGTCTGAAAAATTGAATAGAAGTAGTCAAAAGCCACTTATTATTTGCATAATCTTTGAAAAACTACTTTTCTATTCTGAACCACAATTTCCTCCTCTCTAAAACTAGGAGGCTGGAAAAGGTGGTTGTATTTCCTTCTAGCTCTAACTTTGTAAGATTTTGTCTTGCTATGAATTTCTACCATTGTGCCCAAACTAATAGCCTTTCTATGCATTTGTGATGGGTTCTGTTTTTCTTGCCTTCTCAATGCGTGGAGAAGGGGGAGGGGAAAGGGGAGAATAAAACAATTTAGATGGGAAAATAAAATAAAATTGAATTTAAACTAAAAAAAAAAAGATATTGGGACATTTGACTTTCTCCAATCTTGTGGTACCTCTCTTGTTTTCCGTGTGCTTTCAAGTATTACTAACATTGACTAATTGATTACATCTGCTCATTTCTTCAGGACCTGAGACTGTAGTCCATCTGAGCCAGGTGATTTGAATTCAATAAGGGCAACTAGGTGCTCTCTTACTATCTCTTTACTAATCTTGGGTATCCACTCTCCATTAGTCATTTTATTCTGCTATTTCTGGCACAAAGGTCATTCTCCTTTTCAGTGAAAACTGAAATAAAATAAGATGAGCAGCTCTATTTTCCTTCTGTTATCAGTTATCATTGCCCCATCTATTCCCAAGCAAAAGTTCTATCTCTTCTTTTATCTTCCTTCTTTTCCTAATATAGCTTTAGAAAAAAATACTTTTTGGTAAGCTTAGCTTCCCTCACCAGGTTTGGTTCCATTCTGAGGTTTAGCATTCATTACACTCTTTTCCCAGGAATTTTCATATTTGTCCTCCATTACCTGGTATGCTTCTGTCCTCAATATATTTCTTCCTTAAATCTAAGTTGGAGGGCAGTTAGATGGCTCAGTAGATAGAGCTCCGGCCTTGGAGTCAGGAGGACTTGAGTTCAAATCCAACCTCAGACACATAACACTTACTAGCTGTGTGACCCTGGGCAAGTCACTTAACCCCACTGTCTAACCAAATTAAAAAAAAAAAAAGAATGGGAATTGTTTCATTCTTTGTTTTTGGAGCCCCAGTAACCAGCATGATACCTGGCACATAGAAACTAATTAATTAGTTAATTAATTAATTAATTGACCTGATTGATTGACCATTATAATATCCTCTAAATTGGTCAATCTGCTTCCATTCTCTCCTCTCTCTAAAGTATCCTCCACACAGCTGCCAAGTTTATATTCCTAAACATTGTTCTTACCATGTCACTCCTCTACTCAAAAATCTTGAGTACTTACTGAATCTAGGATAAAATACAAAATTCTCAATCTGCCATGCAAAGTTCTTCACAATATGACTTCTCACTAGCCTTTCCAGTAATATTTCACATCACTCTCTTACACACACCTCTTGTCTCAGACAAACTCACCTGCTAGCTATTTCCTATATGCAACATCTCATTTCCTACTAATATACTTTTGCATAGGTATTTCCCCACATCTAGAATACATTCCTCACAGTTGCCTCTTAGAATCCTTATTTTCCTTTCAAATACAACTCAGTTGCTATCTCCTACACAAGGCCTTTCCTGATCTCCCTCTTGAAATTATTTTGTATGTTTACTTATCTGGGTATATGTTATATCCATCCTCAATAGAATATATGCTCCTTGAGGAGTGCTTTACCCATAGTAGCATCTAATAAATGTTTATTAAATGAACAGACTCAAACTGAATTAAAATGAATTGAATTGAAGAAGGGATTAAAAATGTAAGAAGGAATTGAATCTTTGGGCTCCCTTCTAACTTTAAGATCTTACAAGTCTCTAGATCTCAAAATAAATTATTTTCATTCTTACTATTGCTTTTGGCTCACTGTTAAACTAGTAATTTACGCCTAAAAACAGTGAAAATTAAGTATGTGTCAAAACTTTAAAATATTTTAATGGCACAATTTGGACTATAAGCATCACCAAGGATGTCTCTTGTACCCTTTTGACTCAAAGACAACATAAGAGGTGGACTTACGTGGGACATAGTATAAAGACAAATATCCTTTAGTCTGTTTCCAATTAAAACAGGGTGTAACATTTATTGTCGGTATGGGCTTCTTGTCATCTAAATGGAATAAAGACATGCCAGTAGATTACTAAAAATTGCCTCTCATCAGTACAACTTTTTAAGTTCCCAGATTCACCCAGATGCCCACCCAGCAAGTCTTTAAATTGAAAACTTCACTGTGAGAAGAGTTCAGAGACAGTTAAGGATGGTTTGAAAAATCTTATTCACAACATGATTTACTCCAGAGTTGGACTTTTATTTTTATCTATGCCTTTTCATACTCCCTAGGACCTATTTCAATTCCGTGCTTCCTGGTCTTAAATGGAAGTGTACTGTCAGCTAAGTAGATAAGTAACAAATGCTGGTTGAATGGATGGATAGATGGATGGATGGATGGATGGATGGATGATTGAGTGAATAAGTGGCTCTGTTTCCCATCTTTTAAAGGAAGACAAACCCAAATGGTTTTTCCAATGACTATTCCATGTTGGAATCAATCCATTCAAATAAATAACCATTGTTATTTTTTACCTTATTTAGCTTATTCATTTCATTATTCTTTTGTACAAGATACATGGAAAGCATACATTTAATTTATTTTTGTCATTGCTTCTATGAAAATATTGCTAAATCAGATAAAATTAATATACGTGAAGGGAATTGCTTCTGGAAACCAAGTATCTAATGAGGGGGAAAGGACTGATAATTCAGTGTTAAATTAACTATAAAATTGGAGCCCTTTATGAGGTGATCCCTTTATGAGAAGCAAACAAGTCCCTTGAGTAATTAAATAGAAAGCAATATCATGGGCTAAAGAATAACAGGCCAGATAGAAGGCACAGAGAACTTGAAATGGGGAGATCATGAAAAGCTTTGTGAAACTGAGAGAAAAAAAGTTCAGGGACCACAAAGAGAGGATTCTGAATTCTGGGAAAAAGGCTTTGGGGACCATTTAGGCACAGAGGAATAGAACAGAAACTGTTGCTGAAACTCCATACCAGACTAATCCTCCTTTTCTCTTTTTGGACTAAAAGGCTTCATGGAAGCTTGAAACTTCTTTCTGGACAGGGAGAAAGTCTGTTTACCTTCCTTTGTTTTAAACATCTACTTTCTTTTTTTTTACATCATTTTCTTCTGAGTTTATAAACACCAAATGGACTTCACCATATACAGAGTAGAATGGAAAAAGATGATTTTTCCTGACATTGTTGATTTCTATAATATAGAGTTCAATTTAAAATATATATACACACACACATATATAATGAATTAAAAATGTAACTTTCAAAGCTGTCCTACTTTGATTCCTTCCGGACTTCCTTCTGTTTTATTCTACACATTTTAAAAGATGAGAGATTTATGTGATTTGAAGAAAAATCTGAGTATATTATTCTGCATATTTTAAAAATGTTTTGATGGTTTTCTATTCTTTTTCCTTTTTTTGGTTATCCTCTCTCTAGTCCCTATACCCCACTTCTACCCCCAATCTAGCCTCTATCATTTCTCCCCTTCCCCACCTAGAGTTCCCATCACCTCTTCCTCCAATAACCAAGTCCTCTCTGTTCATGAAAATCTGATTGAAAATACAATATCCCCTTGTCAGTCCTCCACATAATCTATAGTATATTCTAATGATAAAAAGCACTTTTGTTTTTCCTTCTATTTGTCTTTACTCAAGTGATGTCCACCATGTATCCTTCTTTTTCCTGAATTTCCTCACATAAGCATATCTTTTAAATATAAATGCTAAATCCCCTCCCTTTACCTATCCTATTTCTTTTGAATAGAATATACCCATCCAGAGCCATAATCCATGTATGGTCTTTTATTCTACCATATCTCAGTAACATTATAAAGTCAAATTTGCCTGCATGCATAAGGACTTTGAGTTTCTTTTGCTTGTGGGGCCAATACAAGTCAGAGCCAGGGTTAGGCTACTCCTAGAGGACAAGAGTGTAGTGATGTATAGTCTGCTTTGCACTTTGACCCTTTTCTTAATTGGAGAGAAGAAATAGCACTCACTTAACACTTTAAAAATTCCATCTAGTGGATGAACTGAATTCAACCACTTAGAGCCAAAAGAACTGGGTTTCAGGTTTGGCCCTGCCACTAATTTGCTGAGGAATCTTGGGCAGATAATTCACATAATTCTCTAGCCCCATTTACTCCTTTATAAAACAGAGAAAACTAATAGTGTCTTCCTAGTTAATTTTATAAAATGTGGATTCCATTTCTATCAATTTGTCATAATCACTTATTCTCTAGGTTAATTGAACATTGCTATAAACAAATATAGTACATCTAGATTTTAGCGAGGTATTTGTCCATCTGTCATGATATTCACAGATGAAGACCTTCAATGATGTCTCTTTTTCTTCTCCTTTGTCATTCTAGACTTAGCTTCTATTTCTCTGGAGTATGCTAAGGGGGAGGGATTAAAAAAGGTGGTGATTAATAAGACAGTGTGGAGTAGAATAACTCATTGCCTTGAGGATAAGATGAGAAGATGTAAACAGGTCAATACCTATACAAGGAAAATTTTCCTAACAATTGGAACTATCTAATGGCCTGCTTCAGGAAGTGATCTAGGGAAAGATATTTGCCTAATCCCCCTTACTAGAATTTTTCAAGCAAAAATTGTCTCATCACTTATTAGTATGTCTCAGGGGAGACTTCTTTCATGTATAGGTTGTATATGGCCTCTGAGGTCCTTCAAACTCTTTGATTCTGTGAGAGTCTTATACTATGCACATATAAGAGACAGAATATGTGGCCAGAAAGCAGGTCATGTAAAAAATATCTATAAATTTTAGTGTATTCTGTTCCAGAGGTCCTGGGCTCAAATATCAGTTCTGCTATTTACTTGTTTTAAGTTTCACTTTTCTGGACCTTGTTTTCCTCAGCTATAAAATAAGGGGTTTGGACCAAATGATCTTTAAGATGGTAATGATAATAATAATAACAATAATAATAGCTATCATTTGTATTGTGCTTCAAAGTTTACAAAACATTTTGGATATGTTACCGTCTTTGAACTTTACCACCACTCTTAGTTAAGTGCTATTATTATTGCCATTTTTCAAGTAAGGAAACTGAGGTACAGAGGTTTACAAAGGTAGTGTCTGAGGCAGGATCTGAATTCAGGTTTTCCTGATCCCAGGCCCAACATTCATTCTATTCTTTGTCCCCTGCCCCCAAACCAGAAAATTTCTGAGAATGAGGTAGCAAAACCCAGCTGCCTCACTGTCAACATCACTTTCATCTCTAGATTTTATGATTCTAAGAGTCAGCAGCCAAACAAGCTAAGGAAATCCTAGGCTGCAATTATAGAAGCACAGAGCCCAGAGCCAAAGAGATGTCTATATTTTGGCCTAGGCAGAACATCTGGGGCATTTCATCTAGTTATGGACATCAAATTTTATAACAGGTAAGTCAGAGCCTATGCAGAGCAAGATAGTCAGGACAATGAAGGCATTGGAAACCCTGCCAAAGGAAAAGGGTCAACTGAAGGAATTGGAGATGTTTAGCCTAGAGAAAAGAAGACCTAGGAAAGACGTGAATTTGAACAGGGATAAGGAATGGACCTGTGATTTCATAATTAGGGAACTCCTGGGTGAGAAAACACCCTCTAACAATGTAGGTCACTACCTCCTTTACAATTTACAATCTTAAAGAGCTGCCTGTATTCTAATGTTTGAATATTTGCCATAAAGAAGGAGAACTAGGCTTGTTCTATTTGTCTATTTGGGGCAGAACTAGAACCAGTGGGTGAAAATTATAGAAAGTATATTTCTTTTTTTTTTTTTTAGGAAGTATATTTCAACTCAATGTAAGGAAAAATTTCCTCACAATTTAGAGCTATCAACAAATAGAATGAATGAGTTGCCTCAGGAAGACCCATCCCTAGAAGCATTCAAGTGTCACCTTCAGGGTCAGTGACAAAGCCAAGGGAAAGTGGCCAGTCAGGATGCTTGCAATGGTTAGAGAGAGTTTGTCAAGTTTGTTTCTCTATAAAACACCTAAATTCTTTTCTTCACCCTCCGAAAATGGGGAGGGCAAAAAACAAGGATAGTAACCAAATTAGGGATTGTGAGAAGGTTCATAGAGCCTCTAGAAACCCTAGCCCAGCTCAGAAATCAAGAATGGTGGAGAACTAGCTGTGTTTCCACCATGTCAGTGACACTGGAGAACACAGAAACCTATCAGTTGGGGAGGGATGGTGGAAAATAACAGCAGGCAATTATTATAGTGATGGGATGGAATCTTGAACTGAGCTCAAGATACAGTAAGGTGGTGACCACTGGAGGATGGAGTGGGGGAGAAGGGGGGAGGGGAATTATCATTTAGGGTCAAACATAACATAAATTAGAAAAAATAGTCTCATGTAAAGGACAGGAACTTCCTTAAAGCCAGGATTAGGGGTTGCTGGTACAATTAACAGGCAGTCCTTTTCTCCAAAAAGCATTTGCCATCTCTGACCCTGTAAGTGCCTAAATATTGTTCTTGGGAAAACTCACAATCAAAACAATTGATAGGCTGAAGCTTGTAGTACACTTACCACAGGAAGAGTATGTTATCTCTCCATCTGAGGTGTTGCAGGTCCACCTATTTTTCACTGACTCAATGAATGTGAAAGTTAACAGGGTGGAGAAAAACACAATCTGAAGCATAATTAAGTATCTTTTAAAGCTTTCAAAACGAAAATAGAAGAGCAGTGAATTAGTATCTTATTGTTTCCTGTCCGGTTGTAAGAAGAAAAAGTTTGACTTAGTCATAAGTCACATGATTTCTGGCTTCCTATTCAATTTTATTTCCTGTTTTTCTGATTCTCAGTATTTGTACTGCCTTCCAGTAAGCAATTCCTGTAAGATGAGAGGGAAGGAAATAAATGCCTACATATTTGCTCGTCATCTTTATATATACAAAGAACAGCCACTTAACAATGAATGTGCAAAAACCCTAACGCAACAGTTCACCAAATCTAGTGAAACTAAATGTTAAAAATAATAGTGATCTGAGCTTTAAAAAAGAAAAATCTTTCCCATTACCAGAAAAAAATTAATAGTCACAACTGCATGTAGAAATTTTGTAGAAGAGAGAAATTGGGCAAGGCAAGAATTGGGCAATTTGCTTTAAGAAAAGGAGACTGTGCCCACTCCCTCATTTCACCAATAGTACCAGCTCTCTGAACTATCAATCACATTAGACAGGCAGTGATGGTTTTAATTTCTCTTTATTCCTTGGACAATTAGTTTTACTTCTCTAGTCCTCAGTTTTTTCATCCTATAAAGGAGGTTGGAGTAGAATCATTAAATGATCTTTAAGGTTTCTTCCAGCTCTAAATCCTATGACCTTGGACAGTGGCCAGAGAATGTGGAAAAGAACAATTCATTGTCCTACATAGTTTTAACTGCTGAGGACAGACAACATACCTAGCTAAGTACTTATGAGAAAGCCTGGCTCTGCTTCTTGTGTCCACCTTCAGGCTTGAGAAAGCATTCGAGTCAGAGCAAATTGGGTTAAACAGTCTTTTTGAGACCTAATAATGAAGTAATTGTGACTTTTAAATGCCAAAATCTTACTTTATTTTTAGAAACATGGCAAGAAACAAACAACAAAACCTTAAGTATCTTTTCAAGGAATTAGCTACATAAAATAAGTACATTTAAATAAAAAAGTTCTCAAGAAGGAAACAGAAAATAAAGATATGTAGATGCAACTGGATAGGAAGAGCAACTAACTAGATAACATACTAAATATAACATACTACATAACATGCTGAGAAGCACTGGGTTGGATATAATTTCGAGGGCACTGATTCTCAAATTTATTTAGAGAACACCAGAGGTGAGGGGGAAATAGACTTATTACCACAAAATATCAATAACTCCCAACCCGTAAGTCTATTTCTCATCTCTACATAATTTTTGTGAGTATAATCCACAGAAGTAATAAGAAGGCAATAGGCAAGCTTTCACAAGCAATATTCTACAGCAAAACAAATCTTTAAAGTCACACAACCTACCAAAGGGTATAGAGAATACAAGACCTCATTATGCTTATTAACTATTTAAAAAACATTTAATTCGGTAAGGAAAATGCCATCTTAAAGACTTTTCCAAGAAGGTCCATGCATATCAGAATCAGATTCTTTGAAAGATGCAACAGCAATAATTTTAGTGACCACCTACTTACCATAATCAAGAAATGTATAAAACACAAATTATACTTGTCTAAATTGTTTGCTGCTGTTACAAAGGATGTCCAGCAGAGTATAAAAGGGAGATTCCTTATAAATGGTTACATCCTCGATATACTGAGGTTTCTGTATGATTGTTGCAGCCAACTTTCTTCGGTCCCTGTACCCTATTTAATATAAAAGGAAATATGCACAAAAATATTTTTTTCAGAAAGCTTTATTCAGTACATATTCTTCTTTTCTTTCCTTGTGCCCTCTTGACAACTTTCCATATCCCCTGGAGACATGTATGTGTGTCCCAGATTAGAAAGCCTTACTTTAGGATAAAATTCAAACTCTTGTTTTCCACTTAAAGTCCTCCACAATCTGGCTCCCACCTTTTCTGTCAAGCTGATTCCACATTATTCCCCCTCATACACTCTGTACTCCCGCTAAAGTGTTCACTTGTGTTCTCCATACCTGATATCCTATCTCCCACCTTTATGGATTTGCAGTCCATCCCTCTTACCTGGAATACTTTTCTTCCTTACCTTTGTCTCTTGGAACTAACCTCCCTCAAAGCTTAGTTCAAGTAACTGCTTCTTTCAAAGGGCCTTTCCTGATTTCCCTCATCACTCTATATCCAGTACTGATGAACACGTTTAACTCCCATAGCAGAGTGTAAGTTCTCTAAAAACAGAGACTGTGTCTTTCATATTCCTAGCACCGAGTACACAGTAGGTGCTCATTAATTGCTTGTGGATTGCTTCAAGCACATGAACATTTCTACACCTCCTAAATGAGCTTATCACTCAAGAATTCAAGATGATTATACATGCAGGGAAAAACAATTGAATGTCTATTGTTCAGATTATGACATGTCACGGAATAGACAAGCAGAGTTGATCTATCATTACATATATTCTGGCCAGACACCGTGCATGGATGGTACCAGATCCAGAATGAAGCAGAATGGATTGTATTCCCTAGAGGAATTACACAGTAGTTTTGATGATTCCTAAGCTTCAACTTGAAAGCAAAAAGGCAACTTTCTAACAGCAATACCCTTTGCTGTTGACTGTCATGGAACAACACAGTCTCTGAAGAATTAAAGTTGTGGATCACCTAAGGATAACTGAGGGGTACCTGGTGGGCATGAGGAGACAGCACATCACTAGAGAAGAATTGTACAGAAGCAACATAAAGGATGTCATCAGAAATGTATAAAAAAAGAGGGGAACTGACCTCCTAAGATCATTGTGAAGATCTAATAAGATGTATGTAAATCATGTTTAAACCTTAAAAATAGTATAATTGAAAGGGAAAGGTTTGAGGAGGCATCACATAATCTACAAAGTTCTCATTTTTGGCATATCTGGTTTTGCAAACAATATGTAACAGTTTCACATTTAAATCTCTGTTCTACTTTGTAGATGGAAACTTTTTTTTGGTTTGTGAAGTTCACAATTTTTTAAAAAATCTAGGTTTCAATAAAAATTCTTTCTAAATAACTTAAGTTAACATTGTTTTTTATAAGGCTTCAAATGTTTCACATTTTTCTTTATTACAATATTATTTTACAAGTCAGATTTACCATCAGTGCAGTAGCTGACCTTGATGTTTATCAAGTTCATCCTCATTGAAGGCACTTGACAACATGGCTGAAAACATCACACTAAAAAGCATGGAAGCAAGCATACAGTCTTGTTTCACTCCACTGGTGACTTGGAAAGCAGAAGAGCATTGTCCATTATTCAGAACCTGGGCAAGCATGTCATCATGAAATTGATGTACAATAATGATGAACTTCTCTGAGCAACCAAATTTTGACATAATTTTCCATAGGCCCCCACAAATAACAGTATCAAAGGCCTTGGTCAGATCTACAGATATTGTGTACAGACCTCTGTTCTACTCCTGGCATTTCTTCTGGAGTTGTCAGGGAGCAAACATCATTACTTGTTCCTTGGCCTTTTCTGAAGCCACAATGGCTCTCAGGTACATGACCACCTCCCAGGTGAAGGGATCAGCCTATTAAGGAGGACTCTGGCAAGAACCTTTCCAGCAATAACTAAGAGAGAGAGAGAAGCCCTTTTGATTATCACAGGACACTATTTCCTTTCCCTTTATAGAGATGGACAATGGAGGCATCCTTGAACTCAGCTTTTGTATGAGAAATGGACCCCCCTACTTTGTAAATCTCAGCTGGAATAGAATCAGCACCAGGTACTTTGCCACACAAAAGGAACCTGATAACATTCAAAACTTCTTCTTCAGCTGGAACTTCAGCTAGGGAGGGATTGACTTCAATCTGAGGCAAATTGTCAATGGCTTCAGCATTTACGATAGTCTGTTGAGAATACTATGGAAGTGTTCAGCCCATCTCTCTACGATCATGTCCATTTCACTAATCAATGTGGCTCTATCAGCACTGAGTAGTTGAGATGCACCATAGGTCTTTAGCCCATAATGCCAAGACCAAAGTGGAGGGAGTGTTGGTACATGTTTGCAGATGATTGTGCACCAATGCACCCCTGAAGGTGAGATGCAACAAAGTATGGATTGATTCTCTGCTGCTTGTGCTAATTTTGGCCTAACAATTAACATCAAAAAAACACAGGTGCTCCATCAGCCACCACCACACCATTCATACATGGAACCATCGGAGCAAATGGAGAAGTTTTGAATGCTGTGGATAAATTCACTTACCTTGGTAGTGTACTTTCTAGGGATGTACACTTTGATAATGAAGTTGACTCACGAATTGCCAGAGCCAGCTCAGTGTTTGGAAGGCACCAAACGACAGTGCGGGAGAGAAGAGGTATTAGAATGACTACCAAACTGAAGGTCTACAGAGCCGTTGTGCTGACCTCATTGTTGTACGCTTGTGAAACCTGGACAGTATACCAGTGCCATGCCAGGAAACTGAATCGCTTCTATTTGAATTATCTTAGGAAGATTCTGAAGATCACCTGCCAGGATAAGATACCAGACACTGAAGTCTTTTCTTGAACTAAACTGCCAAGCATTCAAACTCGACTTCAGAGAGTGCAGTTCCGATGGACTGGCCACACTGTTCTAATGCAAAATGTACACTTGCCAGAAAGACTATTTTATGGATAACTCACACAAGGCAAGTGTTCACATGGTGATCAGAAGAAGCGACACAAGGACACTCTCAAAGTCTCTCTTAAGAACTTTGGAATTGATCATGTATGTCACATGCGAGACACTGGCACAGGACCGCTCAGTATGGTATGCCCTCATCAAAGAAAGTGCTGTGCTCTATGAGTAAAGCAGAATTGAAGCAGCTCAAAAGAAACTCTAGATGCACAAATTTAAATAATCCACCCCAAATGCTCACATGGACGATTGTGCCCAACCTGTGGCAGAGCACTCCAAGCTTGTATTGGTCTGATCAGGCACAGTCGGACACACTCTAACTTGACTCTAGCATAGTGATGTCATTTTGGTCCTCTTCAAGAATGAAGGACAACAACCAATCAACCATTTTAAAAGTAAGATACTAACAATAAAAAGATAATTTATTACCTTACAATGATACAAAAAGCATACAGTTGAATAGGTGCATAACAGCAAAGAGGGTCACATTTATCTTCTCCATGCTATTTATTTTCATAGGATTCTTCAATGTCAAAAGTAAAAGGCTTGTCATAGCCCATAAGATGGTTATAATCTTGAGGATGTGGAAAAAGCATTGGATTAACAAGCATTGATTTTGTTTTTGCATAAAATGAGGTAAATATACTTTTGATATCTGGAACCTTTACATCATTCTGATGAAACACTGTTCTCTTTTCTAAAAGAGCAACATTATAAGTAATAGCTGTGTAAGTGTCTGTCTTGGCTTCATGGTACAATCGAACCACATATCCCTTTGTAATAAAGTGAAGCAGCATAGGAGTAATTAATGTAAAAGTTCCCAAAGCACCAAAAAACGCAATTTTCAGAGGCAGACTTCCAAATTCAATATTAGTTTGTCCAAACATGTATGGGAGTAATGCAAGGCTGAGCAGGCTTGTCGAATAAGAGAAACATTTTACACCTGAATTTGTAAAAAAGAGCAAAAATTGGTTAGTGTTTTTCTAAGGCACAAAGTAATCAATTTATCCCACTCATTTTCAATTGTTCATCTTATATGACAAAAATTGCCTAAGAGCTTATTCATCATTAAGGATTCAAATTATTATAGGATCTAAGTTAATAATAAAAAATTAAGAAATTAAGAAATAAAAATTGGTTTTATCATTTTATCAAACAGAATTCTACTAAACAGCACTCATATATCTAAAGTATCCAAAGTAAAGATCTTAAGCTACTTTGAGACCTCAAAGTAATTGCCCCTGAATTACCAGATATTAAATTATTCCTGAGAGTTATTTCTGTGTGTGTGTGGGTATGTTAAGTGTATTGCAAAGCATATTATCATTTTTTGGAAGAAACAGACTTCTCAATTCTATAATCATACTCAATAACAGATAATTACTATAGTTAAACTACAGGATCTTTTGGATTATGCACTAGCTTGCAATTTCACATTTCAATAATTTTAATACTAAATAAAATATTCTACCCATACCAATATTAATGTACTTGTATATTCATCGTAGGAGAATGGAACAAAGAAAGAAAAATAGGCAAATCATCACAAGCTTTGAGGGAAGGTTCTCAGTGGCAAGATAGGTGAGGCCAAAGTTAAGTCTACCAAACCAAAATGTGCCTGAAGCATAGTATTTAATAAATGCTTTTTTTCATTCGTTCATCCATTCAAAATGGGGGAGGAGGGGTAGGAGATCTCTAATGTGCAAAACATTATATCTAGGATCTTATAACTTCTATTAGTTCAAAACCCCTCAACTCATTAACTGTTCATTCAAGTGCTTGACTCCCTAGAGACTACTTTAGGTACTCATATTTATTTTTATAACTACTCATTACTCCTAATAGACAGTAGTTATGGTCAGTCTTTCTCTTCAGCTTCAAACTTACGATCATTCTATGACAATGTTCTGACACAAATGGATTAAAGAGTGCTGGCATGCAAATTAAAGAGAAACATTCTTACTAGGCTTACTTAAATTTCAATTAGGATTTCCAGACCTTTTCCATACTTGGGCTTCTTTATATCTCTATAACTGAGATATAAAATACAATTATCTCTCTAGAACTCAGTTTTCATCCTCATCCCTCTAATGAGACAGTTCTAACACCAAAGACTTCCTAATTGCCAATGTCAATGGTGTTTTCCAGTCCTCACTTTTTTCAATTTCCTTATATTTTATAACACTGGTACATTGTTCTTCCTTGGCTTCAGATACCATATTTTCCCCAGTTCACTTCTTACTTCTTCAAAACCTTCTCTAGCTCTTTATCTTCTTCCCAACCCATTTGTATTTGTGTTTCTTAAGGGTCTGTCCTTGGCCCACTCTTTCCCAAGACATCAACCATCACATGTATGCAGCAGACTTCCACATCTTTACCTCTAGTCCTGAGCTCTCTTCTGGGATCCAGATCTATATCTTCAACTGCCTATAGCACATCTCTACAAGTACCTCAAACTCAACATGTCCAAAACCAAACTCATTTATCTTTGGCCATGACCCTGCTTTTCCTTCTGAATCTACAATTTCTGTCTATAGCAACAACATTAATTGTGTTTCCCATGTACACAACCCTGGTGCTACCTTTGACTCTTCCTCTTATATCCCATCAGTTAACATGTCCTATTAATGCTACTCCCAATTCTCTTGAATTCATCTCTACTTTTCCATTCCAAATACCACTACCCTGGCACAAGCCTTCTTAGCAGTCCAAAGGACTTTTCATAGGGCCCAAAAATATGTTTGTGATGTTACCTTTTTTCTCAGTTTTGAATTGTGTGCTTCATAGCCCTTATATCTTCTTATGTTTATACAACTCAAAAACATATTACCTGATCCTCCTGATATGAATGATAAGTCTTAATTTTTACCTGTGTTGTAATACTTGGTCTCTATAGGTCCATTTCCTAGGAGTATTGAACCAATACCCTTTGACTGAATCCAAACTTCACAGAACAAATCCCCTTAATAAAAGGATTTGTTCTATAAAACTTGGACTCAGTCAAAAGCTCGCACCCAAGGACCTAGAAGGCCACATGTGGCCTCGAGGATGCAGGTTCCCTATCCCTGGATATATGGATGCATTTGTGCCAACTCATGATGCTACAAATACAATATTTATTAAGTATTTATTGCATGCAAAGGATTGTGCACCAGGGAAGGGACAAGTTTAGATACAGCACAATTTCTTCCCTCAGGGAACTTAGATCTAATAAAGGGATGAGACACCAACACAGAGAGCTATACACAATATTATATGCGTGCATTAGTTATGTAAAATCTAAAAAAGAGGGTCATTTGCAACTGAAAACGGAGGTATGGAAACCCAGAAAAAACTTCGGTGGCATTTGAGTTAGGCACGTGTGTGTGTGTGTGTGTGTGTGTGTGTGTGTGTGTGTGTATGTTGCAGGGAGAGCAGACAGACTCAAACATATGATTTTTCTGGTGTAGAGAGCTTGCAATGAGGAAATTTCCTCCACCAACATAAATCAACAACTACTATAGAATGTGCAGTTCTATTAAGTGCCTACGACACTTAAGAGTTTAAATAACACATATTCTTTCATGTATCCTTTGCCCAACAGATAGCCTAACATGATACATTAGTACTTAGTTGTATATTCTATCTGAGAGACGTATTGGCCTAACCAAGGTACACTCTCATTTCTACCTACTTCAATTATTGCAATAGCAGTAACACAGATCTTCCCATCTTCACTCTTTTTCCCCCACTATAATCTATACTCAACCAGAAAAATCTTTCTTAGATATACATCTGGTCAAGTAATTTCTATGTTCAAAAATCTTCAGTGACTCCCTATTGTGTGAGATAGATGAAGTTTCCTCGGTACTAAAACTTATAAATCCCCTCTGTACCCCCAAAGCAGTAAAACTTGCAAGAGGTAACCTGTGCTCCAATTCCTCTAGCAAGGTTAAAACGTCGAAAGACTGCTAACTTAACCGCCTTTGTCTCCGGGTAGAACTTCTAAATGGTTATCAAAAGTCTTCCCGATCCTTTGTCTCTAGGCAAATATTTCCAAATAAGGATATTATGTACTAAGGTTCTTAGAAAGCAGCGTTTAGATTGTGCACCCTGAAACCCAGCCAATGGGAAGAAGGGCTCAGGAATGGGGAGGAGTTATCGCTTTAGGAGTATAAAACTTTGTTCCCCACTAACAGACTTTGCACTCCCTGGCTGTCGCTGCTCAAGTGATGAGGGCTATGCCGTTTCTCATGAGAAAGAATAAAACCTTTTCTGATCTCTGACTCAGCCTCTGAACTTCTAATTCTAGTGTGGCCATTGCCCCACACACTATTGTCTATGAAGTAAAGGTTAAGGTTATCTTTCTTGGAATCAAAAACCTCTACAATCTGGTACCAACCAGACTTTCTAATCTTATCTCACATTGCTTTCCTCCATACTCTAGTCAGATTGGACCACACTCTCTGCCCCTAAACACACATTGCTACATAAATACTTTTGTTCACACTGTTCCTTCAGCTTAGAATTGTCCTTCTTCCCCATCTTTCCTGAATTTCTACTCATCCTTTTTAAAGTCCAACTCAAATACAAGACTTTCCCTTTAAATTTTTCCTGGGTACCCACACTCATATCCTTCCCTTTTGCTGACTACAAAACAGAGGTATATCACCATCTATCCCTATATTTTGTACAGAAACATCAAAACAAGACATTAAATAATATCTGGAAAGGTTTTGAATTTTGATATTTAATATATTGCCCATTTACATCTCCATGATAAAACATCAGGATTCACCCACCCAAAAAAAGTGATTACTATAAGCATGTAATTACCTGGAAAGTATCTGAAAGGACTGTTTTAAAAATATATTTACAAAAATCATATTTCCACCTTTATGGCTCCATGTTCTAATACCATACTGCTGTAGTACACCCACACTATGATCTCCAATCTCTTGATTCCTCAATTCTCTCCCAGGCTATCAACCTGGCACTAACCACTCTTTCTTCTTTTCCCCATCGTGGCCCCTTGATGAACCAACTCAAAACTACACTGTCCTCCTTTCTTGAATTCCTAGCCCCTTTATCATATCACTGATTATGCCCCACCAAGCCTCAGCCTTGGATCACTCCCACCATTAACCATCTTCACTCCTACACACATGCTGCTGAACAAAGATGAAGAAAATCATACAACTGTTCCTATTGAGTCCACTACAATTAGTGTTACAAAATCTCAACTGGCCCCTTACTGCTACTATGCAATCCTACTATAACTCCCTCATCAATTCACTATCCCAGTCTTCACTGCAGTTCTTGCAAGCCTTTTCTTCCCTCCTCAAACTTCCCTTGGCTCCTACTCCCCCACCCTCTCAGATGAGGTTCTTACCTCTAATTTCACAAAAAAAAAAAAAAAAAACTGAGGCCATTTGCCACGAGCTCACTCTTTTCCCTTCTTCCTCATCTCACATCACACTGATGTCTCTTCTTCCATTATCTCTCCCTTCACCCCATCTCACATGATGAGGTGCCTTTACTCCTCACCAAAGCCACCCTCTTCCTGGTCAATTAACTCCATTCCATCCGTCTCCTCCACTAGATTACTCTCTGTCATCCTCACTCTATCACTTATTTTTAATTGCTCCCTGTCTACTGCCTTCTTCTCTACTGCCTATAAGGTCTTCCCATCCTCAAAAAAAACCCTCACTTAATCCTTCTATCTCCACAGTCATCCTAGATCTCTCCTGTCCTTTGTGGTTAAACTACTTAAAAAGACTTTCTACATCAAGTGTCTCCACTTTAATCTCCTCTCACTCTCTTAACTCCTTAAAATCCAGCTTCTGACTTCATCATTCCACCAAAACTGTTCTCTCCAAAGTTTATCAATGATGCCTTAACTGCTAAATCCAATTGCATCTTTCTCAGTCTACATTCTCCTTGTCCTCTCTGCAGCCTTTGATACTGCTGTTCATATTCTCCTTGATATTCTCTTCTCTGTAGGTTTGCAGAACACTACTTACTCTGTCCTGGAGGTCTTCCTACCTGACTGCTCCTTCTCAGTCTCCTTTGCTGGATCCTCATCCACAAAACATCCTCTAAGCTTAAGTATCCCACAGAGTTCTGTCCTGGGCCCTCTTCTCTTCTTCCTCTACTACTTCACTAGGTGATCTCATAAGCTCTCAGGGATTTCATTAGCATCTCTACATTGACGATTTTCAAATTTAGCTATCCTGACCTAACCTCTCCACTAACTTCCAATCTTGTATCTCTGTCTTTCAGACATCTCAACCTAGAAATCCAGTAAACATCTTAAACTCAACATCTTCAAAACAGAACTAGGTATCTTTCCCCCTAACCCTATCCCTTCACCCTCAACTTCCCTATTGCTGTAGAGGGCAACAACATCCTCCCAGTCCCTTAGGCTCCCAATCTAAGTGTCATTCTCAATTCCTTACTATCTCTGACCCCCATATCCAATCTGCTGCCAAGACCTGTCAGATATCACCTTTGTAACATCTCTGTAATAGACTCTCTTCTCTCCCCTAACACTGCCACCACTGATATGCATACCCTCATTACTTCATAGCTGGAATACACAATAACCTGCTGGTGGGTCTGCCTGCCTCAAGCTTCTCTCCACTCCAATCCATTCTCCATTCATCAACTAAAGTAATTTTCCTAAAGTAAAAGTCCAACCATATCACCCTCCTAGTCAATAAACTCTAGTGGCTTCCTATTGATTCCAGGATCAAATACAAAATTTGTTTCACATTCAAAACCTTTCATAACATACTCTGCCCCCCTTTTGCCTTGCCAGTCCTCTTACATTTTATTTCTCACCTTGTATTCTTCCCAGTGACACTGGCCTCTTTACTGTTCCTCAAACAAGACAATTGGCTGTTGGATCCAGGCATTTTCTCTGACTGTCCCTCATGCCTGGAATGCTCTTCTTTCTCATCTCCACTTGGTTTCTTTAAGTCCCAACTAAAGCCCCATCGTCTACATGAAGCCTTTCCCAACCTCTCTTAATTCTGGTGCCTTCCTTATTTCCTATTTATTGTGTAATGTAGCTTGTTTGTATACATGCGTTTGTTGTCTCCCCAATTAGATTGTTAGCTCCTTGAGGGCAGACCCTGTCTTTTACCTCTGTCTGTATCCCCATAGCTTCCACAGTACCTAGGCACATAGGTGCTTAATAGATGTTTACTAAGAAGCCCTTAATATCTAGCCCCAGTTGCTGTATTAACCAGTAATTGGTCTATCTCTAGTTTCTCCCCTCTTTAATTCTTCCTCCATGCAACTGTCAAAGAGATATTACTAAAGCACAGGTCTTAGGAACACCTAGCACAGAGTTTTGTACACAGTAGGTGCTTAATAAATGCCTGCTGATTGATTGCTGACTGACTACATCGCCGCTTGACTCAAAAAGCTCCAGTATCTCCCTACTGTCATTAGGAGAGAGTACAAACTACTACTGCTCTTGACAATCTGGTTCTAGCTTACCTTTCCAGGCTTATTAGACAATGATACCCTTCACGAATTCTACATTCTGGCTAAATTGGTCTGCTCCCTAATCCTCATATACAACATTCTAATTCTAGCATTCAAGCCTTTTCACAGGCTATCCCCCCATGCTTGGAATGTACTTGCTCATTACCTTTACCTCTTAGAATCCCTAGCTCTTTTCAAAGTTCAGTTCAAGTCTCATGCTTACCTCAAGGAAACTAGATGGTGCAATGGACGGAGCACCAGAGTTGGAATCGGGAAGATATGAGTTTAAATTCAGCCTCAGACACTGACTAGCTGTGTAATCCTGGGCAAATCACATAACCTCTGTCTGCCTCAATTGCCTCATAAATATAAAATATTTTAAAATATAAAACAGAGATCATAGAAGCATCTACCTCAAAGGGTTGCTGTGAGGATCAAATGAGATAATATTTGTAAAGTGTTTAGCACAGGTCAAGGCACGGAGTAGGTACTTAATAAATACTTATTCCCTTCCCTTTCCTTGCCCCCTTCCTTTTCTCTACCTAAGACCTTTTCTGATCCCTACAGCTACTAGCGCCACATCCCCAAATTGCTTTGTATATATATTTACTTGTGTGCCTGTTTCCCTTGATAGAATGCAAGTTCTTTCAGACTAAGGACTGTTTTCATTTTTGGTTTTACATACCCTGAACTTAATATAGTGCTTGACACACAAAATAGATGCTTATTAAGTGATTTAAAAAAATAAAACTAAAAACTTTACAAATCTTAAAAAACATAGATTTAAACCAGCACCTTATTCCATTCCTATCAACAGTCCTCTCTAAGCAATGGGATGAAGAAAGAGTACCTAAATTACAAATAATCAAAATCCCAATTCTAATCACATACCAAATACTGCTCTTGCCATATTCCCTGTATAAATCAGTCTTCCATCTTCTGATCGTTCAGGATGGGCACAAGTATGAATACATCTAACACATTCACCAGAAGCTCCCTAATGGATTAGAACACATTGTAATGTTACACAATTTTTAAAAACCGTTCATACTAACTAGCCATTTTGGAAGAGCTTTTCATTATTTTAAGTGTTTTTCAAAGTTCTCCCCAAAAACTTGCTTAATCACTATAACAAATATCTGTAAGAAACAGAATTTGAGGTGAATTTTCAAAAAAGAAAGAAGGAAGTTCAACACCTACAAGAACAGGGTAATAATCCAAATATAAGGGCACCTACAAAACCCAGATTATGATCAAAAAATCAAGAGGGACATGAAATGATCGTCCTTTAAATTCTAGTTGTAAATAGCTGTATCTTCCTTATTTGTAAGTGAAAAAAGCAAATTAGAAATGTCAAACTACCAAAAATAAGTATCTTGTTACTGGTTTTGAATAGAAGGGAAACAACTTTCCTAAAGGCCTTGAAAATACAATAGATAGATCCTATGTTTCATAATCATCTTATCATCTCTTTTACTTGACACTGTTTTAAATTTCAGGAAAACGGGAGGCTGCAGCACATTACGGCAATGACTTTTCTTGATAAGAAAAACTGAAATATAATCAGGGAAGCCCATTTCCTATGACTGTAAGATTAAATTTAAAATCTCTCCAAAATCTAAATCTTGCCCTAGTTCCCTATTATTTAACCCTTTACCTCCCAATCCAATTAGAATAAATCCAATTGTAGCACCTTAGAGGAGGTAAGGGTACATCTGTACAGATGAACTTTCATACAATGGAATTCCTGGAAATGGAAATCATTAATTAGAAAATAGAACTATGGTATGAAAACCAGAGTAGAGGAGTTCTACTCCCCCTAGTTCTGGGCCCAAATTGTTTTAAAATTCTGCTTTCTGGCCTGTGCACTCAACTGTCAAAAAAGCAGGACGGAGGGAGGAGGCGAGACACAGTGGAGAGAAGTCTGTATGGCTTCGGGATTTATTTCTACGGATCTGAAAAGTCTTTGAACCACAATAAGAAAACAATTTCTAAGTCACACGTGGGTCCCAAGGGCAACAGATGGCAAAGGAGTAAACAGTCCCGCCTCCAGGGTCATCCTCTAATCTAATCCGCTGGATTTTACCGACACGTGTCCGGCTGACGTCAGACCCGGGGCCCCACGAGGCCTTCCACGCCTATAAACCTGACTCTCACGTTTGCGGCTCCCATGGCCTCTTTTTTTTTTTTTTAAAGCGCTGATCTAGCTGATAATGGGAACAACCCCAGGCCCCCGTGTACTCCCGGAACCTCCCCCCTCCCCCTCCCCCTTCCCCTCCCCCTTCCCCTCCCTCTCCTCTCCTCCCATCCCGGGCCAAGATGCCGGAGGCGGCACCTGTTCTCGGCGGGGCGCCCGGAGGGCGAGGCCTCGCGCCGATCCCGGGGGTGCTGCGAGTGCGCTCCGATCGCTGCCTGCGCGCGCGCGGTTGAGGCCAGAAGACTCCCGGGGATCTCGAGCGGCCCAGCGACTCCGCAGCGCCGCCGCTGCCCACGGTCTAATCCTCGTCCCGCCGCCGCCGAGCCGCAGCCGGGGGGCCCACTGGCCGCTGACCGCTAGGAGCAACATCTCCCTTGCTCTGAGTGAATGCGGGCAACTTCGGAACCGCGGCCCCGCAGCGGCCTGGTGTCACCAGCAAAGACACCCCCTCGGCCCGCGCTTTCCCTCCGCCTTCTGATCCCTCAGCATAGCGATTGGCCGCCTGGCTGGTACTCTGGCTTTCCTGTCCCCTTGGAAACTGGTCCCGAAACAAAAGTTCCCGAGATCAGAGAGGAGAGCTGCAGCCTGGAACCTGAAAAGTCAAGGCGCAAATGTAGCAGAAATAGAATCAAGGCGCTACTGTTGCTAGTACCTGTGCTTGAACTAAACTCCTGGCGCCTGGAGAAAAGAAGACTTCGAAAAAGCAGAGCCCGGAGCCAAAAAAAAAAGCCGCATTTTTTGAGGATTTGAAGAGCTATCATGTAGATGGGTGTATCGCAACAATTCTGCTTGGTCCCAGAGGCCAGAACTAAGAACAATGGGTGGAATAGCAAAGAAGCAAATCTAAGCTTGATGCCAGAGGGAAAATACTTTCTAGTAAAATTAGAGCTGTCCATGTGTGGAACGGAATGCCTTGGGAAGTAGTGGGTTCCCTCTCATTCGATAACCTTAGAAAAGCTCCAGTACTTCAGTTTTGCTCCCAAACTAGTCTGTGTGTGGAAACCTCGCTTATTTTTGTTTATTCCTTCCCGTTCCCTAATCCCCACAGTTCAGAGATGAGTGGTCACATAGAGTAAAGCAAAGGCCCCTGCCGTCTTGCCCCTGCAGCACTGAGTTCATCTAACACGAGCATGATGTCAGCCTGGACCTCAAGCCTTTGATTATATTTTTCTTTTATTAATGTGTCCACTGGTTCAAAAGGAGAAACTACCTGTTCTAGGTGGGCTCTTCAAAAGATAGTTCCTTCTAATACTCTTAGCTTAGACATTGCAGTAATTTCTTGGCTTCGTTTCCTTTGTGTTCTTTACTCGTGTTGTTTTTACTGGTTGATTTTGCACCTCTTCTGAAGTTTAAAAGCCCTTCTCAATCTGGCTCCAGCCAACTCCTTCCAGGTTGTTTATTACACTAAACTGCATATAGTTGGTCTTCACGCACTCTCTTTCTTTTTTTCTTTCTTTTTTTTTTTTTTTTTGGTTAGGCAATGGGGTTAAGTGACTTGCCCAGGGTCATGAAGCTAGTAAGTGTTATGTGCCTGAGGTTGGATTTGAACTAGGGTCCTCCTGAATCCAGGGTCGTTACTCTATCCACTGTGCCACCTAGCTGCCCCACACACTCTACTTTCTAGCCACATTGGCCCATGGGCAATTCTCAATATATTCTATTTCATCTTCAGTCAAAATGCCTTGGTACAGACACTATCCATTTTTTGAAACACCTCCTCATCTCTCTCTCTCTCTCACTGAATCCCCATGGTAGTCTATTCCAAGGATAGTAGAAACTCATACAAATCACAGTCAATAAGCATTTACTAAGTGCTTACTATGTGACCTACACTGCTAAGCATTGGGAATACAAATAAAAGCAAAAAGAAAGCTAGCCCTTGCCCTTAATGAGTTCACATTCTAAGGTGGAAAGACAACACAAAAGAGGGCTGGAAGAAAAGGTTGGGGTGCAGGTACCCTGCACAGGGGCATAGTAGGGAAAATCCTATGGAGATGAGTCAGCAGTGCAGCCTGGGAAAGAATGAAGATTGTCAGGCCCTGGGCCTGACATTCCTTACTTTGGAGGTTCTGGAAGGAACCAGACAATCAAAAGGAGAAACTGCAGGAATGGAGAATACTTCCAATATAAGCAGTAGTCCAGTAGATATTATTACATATTTTAGAATTATATATATATTCCTAACCCTGAATCTCAAGGAATAAATTATGATTATTGGCTTGTTACTATAGCAGCCCAAAATTAAACTGACTTTCACCATTGGCTATCCAGTACGAGTAGTTTAGGGGCCAAGTTTATTTACATGGAAAAATAAGAGTATGCAAGGAAATTGTAAGTTGAAATGACAATCCCTTTCATTCAGCTCCACTATTTGTTTTTTACTGTATGCCTAAAATAACAAAGCAAAGCTAAAACTCTCATTTTTGGCAACCACAAGAACTAAAAGTACGCTCAAATCAACCACAGTGGGGAAAAATCTATATTCTAGTCCCCAAAATCCCAACTACCCTAAGGGGAGATGCCCTGGAATACCATGAAACTCCTGCCAGAAGGAAAGAAATACAGAGCAGGACCTTTAAACATTTTGCCTGGTACCATCTTATAGCTTCCTAATATAACTAACTATTCTTGCTAATTAATTTACATCCTCCAAAAGGACTGAAAATACGAGTAAAGCAAGGTCAACAAGCATTTATTAAACCCTTACTATGTGCCAGATACTATGCTGAGAGCTGGAGATACAAAGAAATATGCAAATATTCCCTGCCCTCATAGAACTCACAATCTAATGGAAATATTGTCAAAATATAAATGTTAATCAAATATGAACTTTTTTTAAAAGTGTGCAAATATTCCCTGCCCTCATAGAACTCACAATCTAATAGAAATACTGTCAAAATATAAATTAATCAAAAGTGTATGACCTTTTTAAAAAAGTGTATGAATTTTTAAAATCTTTATTTAAAAATTCTACAGCCTTTAAATTTTATGCCCTCTACTAAGTTCTGATTGCCATACCTGATTATGATTCTGCAGCAAAATAGATGAAAATTTTTTGTCATCTCATGTTCCTAAATTCTTCTAATTCTTTTTAAACTCTATCATTTGTTAAAATGCTTTTTGATAAAAATATAACATAAAGAATCTTTCATTACTTCATTAACATAATTCAAAATTTTGTCATTTTGTGTTTGAGTGTTTTACTTCTAAAAGCAGCATTAAATAGTGAAAGATCTAGGAAGAGCCTGGAAAGTCTAGTTTCAAGTCTTGCCTTTAACAGTACTGGTAGTGTGGCTCTGGGCAAGTCCCTTAATTTCTCAGTGCTCTAGGCAACTCTCTTGAGACTATGAATTGCAGAGAAGGTGCCACCTCCTTTGGTTGAAGGAATTTCCTTATGTGGGAGTTAGCTAAACCAGTGAAATCACAGATCTCATTTCCTTCTAATACATTACTTATACTAATTCTGTTTGACTAGATGTGTGTAAAGCATTGCATGCCTTAAATGGTTAAATTTAGTGACTATTATTAGATATTCTTGTCATCACACATTTGTTGAGCACTCACTAGGCAGTTATAGCTGCAGCAGGAACCGCACTGTACAGAGAATAATAAAAGAAAAAAATGTCTTCTCTGCTCTTATGGCCAAAGAACTTCTATTCCAAGATGGACAACAATCCCCCTCCCCATAGCAAAATCACAACATTCTGAGTAGCAAAATAGGTATTTTAATAATGTGCTTTTGAAAAGACATGCTGCCAATGCCACATTTTCACCGAATCTCAAGCTGGTGAGGTCACTTAGTCCAATTCTGTTGTATTTATCCTTTTTAAGGTTTCACTTATTTCCATCCACTACTCTGCTTGGAAGTGGATTTCAGAGTTGGTGGGATGGAAGGAGGAAAGTAGAAGCTGATAATGGAATGAGAAACGAGAAAGAAAACAGCAGTAGCAACTGAGATGGGGGGTGTGTGTGGAGAAATTGAAAATACAGTTTCACTATTTGTGCCCATCCCCCAATCATCTGTTCCTAACGGTATGGAAAGTAGTTGGGTTGTTACAGTTAAAAGACTTATTTTACAACCAGTGTTTCAAGCCAGTGGTTTGATAGCTGAACCTCAATCAATTTCAAGAAAACTTTGTATTCAATTAAAATGGACACAACGACTGCTTGCAGTTCAGGGAATAAAATCATTCTTTTCAATTACATAAATATAATTTTCCACCGGGATAAATGCCCATTCCCCGCGCATTTTGATTGAGAACGTCCGGGGAACAAACAGCCACAGGCCTTAAAAAAAATGGGGGGGTGAGGTGGGGGAGGAAGCAATTTAAAAGAAAAGGGGCAGGTCCTGCTAAGGAGTGCAAAGCATAGTACTAAGAAAAGCAAACTAAATGTGCCAGTCTGGTCTAAGTAGTTGTATCATAATCAGTAAATACACGACCAGTACCAGGAAGAAAGAATCCAAGAAGGTACAAAGCCACTGTCCCAGAGTGTGCTGCAACATTTCTCAAAGGACAGACGTAGCTAGTTTGAGAGCAGGATGTTCTTATTAGCATCAAAACCGCGCCCCACGCTTTGCAATCTGTCCTCTTCTCTGAAAGTACGTGACTCCAGCTGCCCCAGAGCCCGACTCATTAAAGGAAACTACAAATTCCAGCATGCAATGCGCCCCTCTACACTGCCATCCTGTTTTCCGTCTTTTACCCCCCCACTAGAACTGAAAAATTGGGTCGTCCTGTTGCATGCTGGGAACTGTAGGAACACATGAGTTGGACTCCGATTGGTCACCAGTCCGGTCCGTGCCCCTCCTCCGAGGATAGAGAGTGTTTGTGTGGAAAATAGAGAGAGGGAAAAACTAAGAGAGGGCGGGTTTTAGGCTCGCCCGGAGTGGATGGTGATTGGGAAGGGTACGCGGAGCGTTTCCAATTGGTAGGAGGCGTCGAGAGGCTAGGTGGCTCGGCGCTGGCTTGGTGTACCCTCTCTTTGGAGACACTGCGCTGACCTGCCGGAAGTGGTTACTTTCGTTGTCCCGGAAGAGACGGCGGCGGGCGGCTGGGGCCCGCGGGGGGGGGGACGGCCCTGGGAGCAGGGGCTGTGGCAGTGAGTGGGTACCGAGCTGCGGCCGCTGCAGAACTGACAAGTGAGTCACGGGTCTGGGACTGGGATGGGAGTTCGCTTCTGGGCCCAGGCGGGGAGGCGAGGGAGGCAGGGAGAAGGTGCTCGTCTTCCCTTCCTGGCCTCGGATTTGGGCGAGGAGTGAACGGAAACCATTCCCCTGCCCCCGCCGGCCACCACTTCCCTCGGGGCCGTCACGGGGCGCGGGGAGAGGAGGGCGGCGGGGCCTCTCCGAGGCGCCCCTTGCGGGGCCTCTCCGAGGCGCCCCTTGCGGGGCTTTCGATGGCTGGGAGGTTCCCGTGGCGGCCCGGTGGCCGGGCGGGACGCCCCGGCGCCTGGGTGGGTGGAGTGGGG